GTCTGTTAAATGCAGGGGTAGATAGTAAATTAGTACGCCTTAAAACTGGGAATTTCTAACGTTAGTGACATTTTAGGTCGGAAGTGGACAGCAAGGTTGAAAGCGAACCAAAAGGCGAGGTCGCCACCATTGAGCGGGAATTTAAATTTAGAAAAAGAATGGCCCTTTCTGTTTTGGGGAGTTTAATAACTGTACCGTTACATTTAACGTCAGCAGTGAATAATTTAGATTTAAAGTTTGTTTTGTAAAATGTGTGATTAAATAAAGTTGTTTATCGTCATGTGTTTTTCTTGCTTTATCAATATGCAGATTAAGAAAATTTGCATCCGTGTTTGAAATTATTTCCAAACACGCCGTGGTTTTCAACTCGTTTTTCACTGGGTTTCTAAACCCATCCACCTGACCAGAATAAGATGCTCTGGTTGGGCAGGAGCTGCATGAATAATTAATGAGTTTGAGAATTCTTTTTCAATTCTCAGTCTCTTCTTCACTGCTATGATCACCAAGAGGCTTAACAGAATGGTAACGGGAAAAGCAATGGCCGTGATGCCAACAATAATCTTATAAGAAGTTGTGTGATTTAAGTCCCAGATATATTGTGGCGACTCCGGGCAATAAAACACTGACCTGTTTCGTTGGACGAATTGAAGAGTGATTCTGTATTCTTGAATGTCATGATCGATATACCTCGTTAAAAGGGATGACTGCAGTGAATTATTTTGTTGACAGCGCGGTTCTGTTTTGGTTCTGTGTTACCGTCTTCTTGTCAATTGCGTAACTCCACTGGTCTTGAGTATTGTTCGACCGAGTGGAAAATACTGTTATTTTCATTCAGTTACTCAGTTGAAAAAAATCTTGTTTGTTGTATTTTAAATTCTAATTTTTACATTAAACTGATTTACATTACATTGATCATCGTTTCAAGGATGTTTACAGTAACTGACTATATATAAGAAAAATAACAAAGAAGTCTCTATAAAGTAAAGGGGCTAATTGCACTAAACGTGATACGAATACAAATTTGAGCATTAAAAAATACAAATATTTTATTTTAAGAACAAACGAAGATCTTAACCGTAAAATATTGAGCATTGTACAAAGAAAACTGACAAGAAATTTGTCGAGAGAATTCAGTGGCTTTGTACTAAGAGACAATCAAAATGGAGGTTAATCTGTCATCTTTTATTCAGTGAAGCTGTAGTTGATGAGTTACTCGGTTGAAAAAAAAATCCTGTTTGTTGTATTTTAAATTTTAATTTTTACATTAAATTGATTTACATTACATAACATTGATCATCGTTTCAAGGATGTTTACAGTAACTGACTATATTTAAGAAAAATAACAAAGAAGTTCTTATAAAGTATACGGGCTAATTGCACTAAACGTGATACGAATACAAATTTAAGCGTGAAAAATACAAATATTTCATTTTAAGAACAAACGAAGATCTTAACCGTAGAATATTGAGCATTGTACAGAGAAAACTGACAGGAAATTTGTCGAGACAACTCAGTGGCTTTTGCACTAAGAAACAATCAAAAAGGAGGTTAATCTCCCCATCGTCGAAAAAGACAAAAAACGTCTATAAGATTTCCCTTTTAGTTTCTTCTTAAGAGGGCACGGTAACGAATCCTGCAATCTGATTGGTTCTTAGCGCGGTCAGGATTTTCCTATCTTTGAGCACGGTCATGGTAACGCGTGCGCGATGTGTGTGCGGAAAACTCAACAATTATGAAAATGATTTGAGAGAAGAAAAACTAATAACCGGCCTAGGCTAAGATTAGTCCGTATAGTGAAAAACTGTAACCTCGGACTTGAAAATGCTACCCTTGGCCTGCGGCCTCGGGCAGCATTTTCAAGATCCCGGTCACAGTTTTTCACTGTACGGACCTTCCAGCCAGCATGTAACATATGCATCTTTCTTTTTTTCATTTTTTTATTGGAAAAACGAATAAGAAAATTATTTAATAGCTATCTAAATCACACCTTGAACTACCCAAAGTACATTTCCATTTTTAGCGCGAGTTTCCTCATATCAGGCCCCACATTTTTTAGACGAGATTTCCAAGCGAAGTAGCCAATTTTGTTTGTAAGTATATCTTGCATTGTACAGAGACAATTGGCAGGAATTTTGCTGAGCGAACTCATTGTCTTCTAATATTCCCAAAATGGCGGTAAATCTTCTCATTAGTTAAAAGAAAAACAAACCGTTCATTTGCCTTCATATTGAAACAATCAAGTTCCAGTTTCAAAGATGATGTTCTCTCAAAAGTTTTTCTTTCGTCTAAAAAAAATAGTTACCCACTCATACAGGAGACAATGTAATTTTCGGTGGTCACAAGTCGCGGGTAATTTTCACAGGTCGCGAGTAAATTGACGCGAATTGTAGATGAATACCACAAAGCGCTCGTCTAATCTCCTGCTTACGAAAGCAGCTGCTTCAACGGCTTGCGGCATGTTTAAGTGGCGGGATATACGCTAGAAACAGATGATCCTTATCTTCAATAGCGTAACACATTACGTACCAAAAATAATGATTAAAAGTTGAAGGATTCGCCTACACTGCAGTAAAAGGTCATGAATTTTACCAGGACCTTTACTAACGCCCATCTACATGTATCTATAACGGTCACGCTTACCAACTGCTCGAATAAATTTGATTGCCTAATTAAGGAGATGCTTTTTTATAAGAAAACTTAAACCGTCTCTAAACGTGCCAACGGACTCGATTCGCGCAAAGATATTCACTTGAAGAACTTGTGATCCTTTGTTATTATGCTAATTTGTGGAGACTGAAATCAAATCTTCGCATCAATTTATTCACATTGCCTTGAGAATGGTGTCACGATGACGCCGAAACGTCGGCTGTTAACTTTTATATTCGCTTCATATATTTTTCAATTTAAGCGAAAAACAGCGCATGCACGATACAGTTAGCTGAGAATATCTACCCTAAACACCGGTGGATAAGCCGCACTCGCAAATAAGCTGCACCCCGGATTTGCCAACTCAATTTTTGGAAAATTTTGTTCGATATGCCCTATTATTTATTATCTTGAAGCAAGAGAAGAAAAACGACGAGTCGGTGCATGTGAGTTTCCAGCGTTCTACTCGTTTCAGAAATTGCTCGAATTTTATCACAAGAACGGATTCCGTTGCCATTTTACTTCGTCTTTCTTATAAAGCAATAGCTTCACAACATTTCTGTAAAATAAAATTGTACTTACCTTGTTTCTTTAGGAAACTAGCAGCTCTAAGAATCAGATACCAGTTTGAAATTGCCACCATTTTTGCGTGAAGCACACATTAGACCGGGTACCAAGTTAGAAATAATAGCCAATGAGGATGGGCAAGATATTTTTGTTACCACATAATTTGCCTCACCCACCACCCCATGAAGACAAAAATATTCCTCCGTTGTCTCTCGTTAGCCTTGCGTCGCAGACAGTCTAAACCGCCGGTGTAGTCTCTCGTCGGCGTGCGAAAACTTGATTTCGACATTATTTATCAGTTCTAAATTCCAGATATTAACAATTTTCATTCGATGCATTTTCCCTTCCTATTCATTGGTCGAGATGAAAAAAGGCAGATCTCTTCCCTGAACTGTCATCAGAGAGTGATTTAAAGATGAATATGGTAGTCGAATGATAAAATAAAATAACCATGGTGGTCGAATTAATTAACAATTATTGAACTCGGTTGTGCGAGACACTGACAAATCACGATGTTTTGCGGTAACTGAGTTCAATAATTGATTTATCATTCGATTACCAATTTTGTTTTCTCTGACAGCTCAGGAAAGCAATCTGCCATTTTTCACCAGAGATCATTGTTACAATTACGCATGAGCAGAATATTATTTGCAACAAAACACATTTAGACGGTACTACGCATGAGCAGACCATTATTTGTAGGCAGTTATTTGCAGGTCATGTGGTTGGCTCTCGGCCAATGGAAAGGAAGAAAAAAAAAATGCATTGAATGATATGCCTTGGTTACCTACGGGAAAACACCCTTAACGGCGCCATTCAAACATTTAAAAGTCGCAACCAACTTGCGCAAATTTCTTGCACCGAGCACTCGTAACTTACTTCGTAAGTAAAGCGAGACGTGATTCTACTTCGATCAACGCTTACTGCTACGAAAATGGTTTCAAGGCATCTTCACTTCAGAGGCTGTCACACTTGGCGATTTTGTGCATCTTATGTCGCAAAATTTGCAAGAAAAGTTGCCTCAGTGGAGGAACGGGCACTTTTTAGGCGTGGACTGCCTGCATTTCTTTCATCTAAACTCTCTGGAAGTGCTTGGAATTCTGACAAAACACTATGCCATGATTTTCCACTTTCTTGAGTGTTCTTCTAACATCCCATATGGTTTACTGCATAGGCAAACCAGATATGTATCGCGCCCGTATATTTTTCGAGTGGTTTGTCGGTGCAACGGTCAATAGATATTACTGGCCAATCAGAGCGCGCATTTCATCTCAGTTATTGTATGAACTACCGTTAACTGCCGCTTATAAGCCGTGGGCTCATACGTAAGGGGTCTTGATGTGGTTATAAACAGAGGGGCTTATATTTGTGGGGGAGGGGGGAAGCTTAATATTAGAAAAAAAAAAACCGTTTCGAAATGAGCTGCATCAGTGTTGATCAAAATAGGTTTTCGTATCCTGGTTAAGCTTTAAAAAATCATAATAAATCGAATTCATTTCACTTTAAACTAGAGGGGGCTCATATCTGGGGATGCTCATAATTGGAAGTAATATTTTGTTTACAGGTAGAGGACCTATAACCGTAGGGGCTTTTAAGCGGGAGGACTTGTAAGCGACAGTTTACAGTATGTTAACACACGGGTTCTTAGAAAAGCAGGGAGTGTTACATGTGAACTTTGTTATGAACGCCAGTTTATTCTAAGCTGACATGAAAGCTATAAGAAGTAACCAAAAACTGATTCTTGTTCCTTCTGTGGCAAAAAAAAAAAAAAAAAAAAAATAAGACAATTCTTTTCAAATTCTTTATTGCACGCGCTAGAAATTCACAATAGGCAAACGGTGTTCGATGTACATTCACTGTACAGGCTAAATCTACAAATGTATGTGAAGTAAGTTTTCAACGAAAGTGTAGTTCCAAATCGATGGTTTACGAAGTTAAAATAATGAATAAATTAGTATTGCAGTATTTATTCAAAGGAATCTAGGGAGGAACTCTTGAAAGAGTTTCGAAGATCCTGAGGAAAAACAAAAGTAAATCGAAATAATTACTTCTTTCATCTATTTACATTGTAAACTTATATAGAACAACACAAATTCCACTTTGAAGAGAACTTCACCAGCAATTTGCAATTTACTTTAATCTTGAAGTTACTTCTCTCCCATCTAAAACTTGTTTCGATAGTAAGAACATAAAATTCGGGGTTTAAACTTCTCATATATTCACTTAACTTTTAGGAATGAAACAATTTGATTCCGAGTGTAATTTGGAATACACAAGCACGAGTGAACTTTTCAAAGAGCCCGTTGGGAAAAAGCAATCTACGCGAGTGTTAATTTATTCCACGTTGTAAGAGAAAAATCATTTGATTACTTGTTAATAATATATATGCAGCTTAAATTCAACTTTTTGCACTCAACCTCAACTTTGTGCACTGTTTGGGATTAACTGACGTGTTCTCAGCCAATCAACATGCTATAATTTTTGAATTTTTAAATTGTTTGCCGAATTTTTTTTAACTGCAGAAAACAACCCCACCCACAATAGAGCTAAAGGTACTTTTAGAGACTTCATTTTATTTGAGTTTCTTTTCAAGTGATTCGTTATTTAAATCTCGCCCCTTTACCTCTGGCCGCAATGTTCACATTTTCTTAAAGCACCTTGGTACAATGAAAAAAGATCTTACCAGTGCCTTGAACCGCTGACACATATGCACGCAGTCCTGTATGATAGGATGTTGGTATAACAGGTGGAATGGGACGGCCTCTGTTTCCTCTGCACCAAGCTCCAAAAACACTCCCGCTAAACGCTCCTGTGGAGAGAAAACGACTTATTCACGGGTGGATTCTGACATTACATAAGAATTTCCTTTTTGATACACCAGACATAGACATCTGCCATTTACGAGAATTAACGGTCCTTCTAACAAAACATCGCTATTTAAAGGCATATTTTCATTATCACCTCACCCATAAACATACTCTTCTACTAAATTCTCAGAACTTGGAATTTATAGTGTGAACAACACTGGTAAGTAATGAAATATTCATTTTTCAGTGGCTCGACAGATGCTATAAATTGTAACTATCTTGACAAAAACGCCCAACATGCATCTTTATGTTTTATCATTTCCGTTATCCTACCCTAGCAAATGCGTCATCCGGGTTAGCAGTCAAACTCAAGCGGTAAGTGTCTTCTAGTCGTCCTTCACCGTGGTGGAAAACCTATCGGTGAAACAAAACACTAAGTTTAGTAAGAACCTTGCAAGATAAATTCACAAACAAGATGGGTATAAAGACAGGATCATACCTTCATCAGGTTGTCCAATGTAACAAGTGAGTCCATTTCAGGTGGTGGTGACGTGGGTTCCTGCAATACAAAGCACAAAACAATCATTGATGTTCTATTCGCGCTACTTTGTTTCATTAATTCACTTGTGCCGGTTTCGATTGAGGAATGTGCATAACAAGGGCAGAAAATGAAACAACGTCTAATACATGAAGCCGCTTGAAGGCTGTCTTGCGTGCCAAAATGTTCAGTGCCAAGGTATTGTTTGTACGTGGTTTCTACAACTCTATACCAACAAAATACAAGCATTTTTGAAGGACACCGAATTAAATTTCAATTCTGGTCTATCGAAAAAAAAATGTATTCCAGTTGATACTCAAGCCAAACATTCCCTAATCGCTATTAGTTTAACAACCTTTCAGATCGTTTAGCTTTATAACATGAAATCCAGTACCTGGATTTGTGGAACACTGACGTCACCTCCGTAGTCGTCTGTCATTGGTTGAGGCAGATGAACTAAAGATTTGCTGGAAGGCATTGGTTGATTTGCAGCCACACTCAGGGCGCGGAGTACACCATCCAAGGGGTCTGGATCGGCAGCAAAATACAATAGCTGTCAAACAGAACAATATATAGAATAAACCACCGGTAAGCATTCTTTAAACAGGAAAAAGGATAGATCATTGATCTGGTCTCTCCTTACCATGTCAACGTAATCCAGAGAAGAGAAACCAGCGTCACGGTTATGATCGGCAAATATCTCATAAAACGCCTGCAAAACAAACGAAAATGTAAAATCTTTGTAAATGTCAGCTAAACCAGTTCTTTGACCTTTGAAATAATAACATGAGCCTTCCTGTTGACTACGCATCCTGCTTTCATGACGTAAGTCCTACCGTATCATATGCCTTAAATATTACCTGCTAAAAGTGGGTTAATCTCTTTATGAGTTAATGCTTCTAAAATAGAACACTGAAAACTTTCAAGTCATGAGCACAGCAAACCATTAAATCCGAGAGAAATATTCCTAGAATAGGAAGTATTTGAGCCAGGAAAGCCTTAGAAACAATGATAGAAAGATGTCAATAACTTACAAGCGACTTTCGACACAAGTCTCTGAAATGAAAGAAACATTCATGTCCCGAGCAGGATTCGAATCCCCGTTTCCCTGCTACAAGTCGGGCGTGTTATCCATTACACCACCTGGGCAAATCAGTGCAAAGCACACAATATGTGTATATAACTTACGTTCTTTAGCTTTCCTTGTCTGTCAAATACAGGAGGCACATCTTGGTCCTGCGGATTTTCTAGCTCTTGTTGCCCAGAAAACCACAGATCTACCTGCTCGCAAATAATCACAAAGAAAATATTTACTTCATGTAACATGAAGATTTTAAGGACACGACATTCACAACACAAAACGATCAGTTATAAAAGAAGGAAGGATATTGGAAATACTGTCTGATTATAAAAATTCTTTCCAATGCCATCTCAACTTTGTCTACCGGGATAGGTTTCATTTACGACGTCATTTTTGCAAACTGGGTTTGAATCCAGGGCAAAATAAGTCACCGGCGAATGTAGATCACACATCACTTACTGGCTTGTCTTTTAGGATAAAATGGTAAAAACCAGTTTAAACGTCATCTCGAATTCGACTGGGCCATAGACTTCTCTTTTACACTCTAAGTCCAGTCTGGATGGTAAACTATCTAAGAAATGGTTTGTTAACTTCACGTTCCCTTTGCACTGTTGGGCATCACCGAAACGTGCACACCCCAAAAAGGCACCGTTTAACTCATTCCTAACAACCCCTCTACATTTTACCACCAGACAGGGGACATTGGGGGGGAACCGAACACTGCAGTCCCACCAAAAGATTATACAAATGCGGTAGGACCACAAAAAAAAATTCAGCAAATTCCACAATGTCAGAGATAGCCCGTACACAAGTGGCGCTTTCGTTGGCACGAGGGCAACAAAAGAGGTAAGTAAGTAAGTAAGTAAGTAAGTAAAGACTTTATTTAAAGAGGGTAGCACTAAAATAGTATAAAAATACTAACAAACCAGTGGCCCTCTAAAAATTATGTACAATACGGATGTTAAAACTATGGCATAGTTATGAGATAAGATAACGAATAAAAATACAATAGATAAGAGATAAAATCAATTTAAAATACAAAAAGTATAACTAAATCACAGAATAAAATGATTTAAAAGCTGCTATTCTTCAAAAAATTTTTTCCAAAGANATAGTATAAAAATACTAACAAACCAGTGGCCCTCTAAAAATTATGTACAATACGGATGTTAAAACTATGGTATAACTATGAGATAATATAACGAATAAAAATACAAGAGATAAAAGATAAAATCGATTAAAAGTACAAAAAGTATAACTAAATCACAGAATAAAATGATTTAAAAGCTGCTGTTCTTCAAAAGTGTTTTTCCAAAGAGAGTTCCTAAAAGAATTAAGCGACGCAATTGTCCGCATTGATAGCGGTAAGCTATTCCAAGCTTGACAGGCAGTCACAGTAAATGTTCTTCCTCCTTCAGTTTTACGTTTGATAACAGGGCGAGCAATATTGAAGTTAGCATACCTAGTCTGCCGTGAATGAGTGTCGCTAGTAAGCTTAAGTAAACTTTTAAGATAGGTTGGTACATGCCCCTGTAAACAGCATGGTCATTGGTTGCTATGCGTAGCAGAGAATTGCGATTGGTCCACGAAAATCACGCCACTGTCAAACTTGACTCGAAAGTCGCTTCTCGTGGAATGAAAACTTACAGCGAAAGTAGAATTGAACTACAAAATCTACAAATCTTAGAGAAAATACTGGAAAAGTCAAGTCAGTTTTTGTCGTCAGAGCAGTCCTGTGAGCCGAAAGCTTGAATGTTGCCTTGAATAATGCAGGAGTTGAAAAAACACGCTCTAAAAACTTACGGTTACGGTCAACACTGGAGGCCATTCCATTCAAGTTTTGAATGAAAGGAACGTTAGTCTCGATGGAAATTTGTGTCGTCTGTAGTTGGTGATTCTTCAAATCAGTTTGATATAGTGTCGGAGACACCTTACAGCTGCGATACAGTTGGCCGTGAGCTGTAGTGAGCTATACTGTTTGCCGCTGTGCCCTGAAACGGACTGGAACATTCGCGTCGGAAAGTAAGGTTATGTGTCTATTTTAACTGATTTTAAGAAGTGGTGTTTTGATGATTCATTCCCGACATCAATCTGTGTCAACAATTATTTTGAGAATGAGGATTTTCTAAATAAATTAATCTCATAAACGTTTTGTTTATTGCGTTTGTTAAATTCGAGACAAAGCAATGGTTTCCTACCTTAAAGTAATGTTAATTACGTTAAGACCAATTTTGTGTTTAGTTTGGTCTCGCTCGACTGCCGAATGAGACTGCTCGAGAATTTTTTCTGAGTCATTTTCTAAAACAAGGACTTTTTCTTTCTTCTTCCTGCTTCTCGTACCGGTTCAATGCCTCGACAAAACGTTCTTGTACCTTATCTTTAGCCCAGTTACGTAAAATATTATCTTAATTCTCAAAACTTTCCACCATTTTAAAACACAAAGGGAAAAACTTTGTAATGATGACGTCAACCGTGCGTTTGTCCTCTAATATATCATAGGCGAGAACCAATCAAAATGCGAGAATAATTTGGGTTATTGTATAAAGAGTGATAGTTGTTGATGCTAGAAATAGCATCTATCGGGAAAATATAATCAAGGCTCTCTTGTTGTCATTTCATTATCTACTGATTTCTCAATATATTGGCAAGGCGACGGGGATGGACGTAATAATAAATGGAACTGCTTTCAAATTTTTTTCACCACTTCTTGATCTAGCCTGCGAACGCAGGCATATTTCTGACTGTCGCTTGTCTCGCCAGAAATACGTCTGCGTTCGCAGGCTATTCTTGATCTGGTTGATGCCATTATGTTGAACTGGTGAATTGGGGGCATGAGACGGGCCGGCCTCGGCCACTAGCGACTTGGGCCCATTCTAGTGAAAATACATATTATGTTACACAATATTAATGACGATTGTTACTAAATTTCATTTATTTTTTTCCTCAGCTTTAAGAATAAAATAATATAATTTGCGCTTGTCAACCTTTTAACAACTTTTTGCATTGAGCCCAGCTTCGAGCAACTTTTGAGCAACTTCAGATAATTTTGTTGAGCCAGAAATGAATTTCAGCATTTTCAGAGGATATCCAGTACAACCTCAGCTGATAATGACAAGTCTCTTGAAAATTGAAAGGCATTTCGCTTCGTTTTTGACTCCGTAGTTCGTGCGCCACATGTAAGACAGTAGCCATTCGCCCACAAACTTTGGGTCAATTTTCCAGCGGTTACTCGGTGAATATGATCTGCCAGTTTGTTTCCCTTGATCGTTTAGCTCAGTACTTATGGTGACACCACTAGGAGTTTAGGAAATGAAGACTTAAAAGCTTTTATAGCTGGTTTTCACATGACGTCTCTAAAATTCGAACTACAAAACTATTGATCTTCCTGAGATTTTACTTTAATGGTGTATAAGAACAGCTGAAAACTAATATTCATACAAATGTTCGCTCCGAATGGCTTCTTGGTTTTGTGATACACTACGCTTAAATTTCTAAGCTTTTGCGTGACGCGGCATTTACATGACGGCCTAGAGAGCTTTCNCATTAACAACTACAGCAAGGTCATGGTTAATTCTGGTAGAAAGTCGCTTGCCAGTAATGGTAAGCACTTTTGTCTTGCTCTCATTGAGAGGAAGTTTATTAGCTGTTGCCCATTGGTCGACCTCAGAAATTGCTGTAGTCAGTGAAGTTTGTAAAACACCAACGGAATCAAAGTTAGCAGCGGAGGTTAACGTCGTGTCGTCTGCGTATAGGTCAATTTGTAAAAAGGAGCTTCGGAAACACGAAGACAATCCAATTTCAGATAGCCTATCATGTTATGTATTTTAAATTACAATGTAAAATGAAACAGTTTCGGTTTGTTTCTGATACGACTAGAAACCGAAAAGGATCAGAAAAATGTGAAGCATTTTAAAAAACGCACCTGCAGTTTCAAGATTGAAATGACCGAGGTATCGCCATCGGATGAAAAATTGACCAATACCGCAATACTGCAAACCTCAACATCCTGTCCTCCATCCTCCTTCACAATGATAAAGCAATAAATAAATATGCTATCTTACACACCTGGTCAAATTGTTCCTGAGTCACCCTCCCGAAGAATGACGAGTCCACCTCACGACACCGCTCCAGAGTCATCAACAGATCCATCTTAGAAGCTGGGGGCCAGGGCTGCGCGGCCGCCAGCAGAAATTTCCGCCAATCAATGAATTCAGTTTCTAAAGCAAGTAGTGCGCAAACGTCCTGTAACTGAAGCAACATAAATCAGAGTGATTAACACATTACGTTAATACAAGCAGTTATTTTGCTTCAGGGTTAACGTAAAAAAATGTAAAAGTAAAGATAATTAAGAATTCAAGTTTGGGGCTGAAGCGGACAACGTAACAAAACCAGGAAATTAAAACTTCTTGTTTCCAGATTGGAGAAACGTTTATTTGTTGATTTCAATATGAGTCCTTTCGCAAACATCAATTTACAAAGTCTCTTTGCTGATCTTCATGCATTTCTTATAGTTCTAGTGTGTAGAATTCCTTTTATTTCGGAGAAAGTTTCTTCTTTTTGTTTTTTGTTTGTCTGTTTGTTTGTTTTTCTGATAACCTTTATAAGCAAATTAAGCCTATGACAAGGTTTTCTTTGTAACGATTTTGAACGAAAGCGTTTCTCAAATACAACCGGTTCTTTCATAGTAGATTCGCGTTAACTGACCTTTACAGTTTTGAGAGAGCTTTTGTTTAAACCGAAAGCACCGGCAGTGATCGACGAAACAAATTACTCAAACAGCCCACATTTCCTCAAATTATTGAAAAATTGGTATCAAGGCGTGAAATATTGAAACTAGATAACAGGTAAACGCGGTCTTCAATACCTGTGGCTGTGTTATGTTCATCCAGGAGTCTGGAAGCAACTCCATTCCGTGCTGTGAGCAAAAATCAAGCAAAACTGGAGGTTAGGCTCTGACAATTCACATAATTCACTACAATTGTAACCATGTAACACAAACACAACATAAATGTTTGCCTAAAATAGCGTTTCACCTAGCTAATTCACACCCAAAATTTGGTTCTCTCACATTTGTTAAACCAAGTTCCCATTGCACTTTTGCTTAATTCTAATGTGCCTTACTGGTTAATTGACACTTCAATAACTCCACTAGACTGTTTATCAAGACTTAGCGAATCAAAAGCCATAATGTTTTCTCCCTTTCTTGGTGTTGCTCAGAAACACAAACACTACAATTTTTCTCAAGTGTAACGTGGCAGTACTGGCATGTGACAGTGTCCGATGGCAAAAATCAACAAGGTATTTAGACAGTGCCTCTCTCAACCTAGGTGCATAAATGGACACCGGCGAATTTAATGCTGGAGGGTGGGGGGACCTGCGATGAATTACCACACCATCCAGATGGGAAAGTAAGAAATACTCCTAGTCACTTCATGTCTGATGGGCCAATTGGCTCGTATGTAGACTTCATCTTAATTTAGACATGACAGTAAGAAAGGAATAAGCTAGCTTGCACGATAAATACGATACAGGTAAGCACTCAGATGAAACACACACTCACCGTCAGAGTTGTCATATCCATGATGATGTCACAGAATGCGCGGTTAGAGATGACGCCTGTTGGGGCTGTCTCCACAAGCTGCAACGAAAAACGTAAAAACGCGTGGCGCACAAGCATTTTAAAACCATTTAAAACATTCGTTATGGCCATCGTATAAGCCTGTAAACTGTGTTTACAAATGCTCACCCACAAAAAACTGGAAAGCAAATATGTAACATTACGAAACAATTGCAAGACTAATTTTACTAGTTCCTTACCGATAAGATAGTAATAGCAGGGAAGTTTCTAATCAGTAATGACAGAAGGAATGACGCGAAAAAAGGCTGGACATTTGTGATTACTCACCCGTTTTTGCCTGAGATTCACTCCGCGCTATCTTAATGGTCGTATTTACCTCCGCAGACGAATTCTACGTCTCAGACAAATAATGCGTCTTTGTGTAGGAAGTTACTTAACAACAATGAAACAGAAGAACTTAACTGAATTGCGAATCCGCTCAACTAAAATATATAATCAAGCGACCTTTAATCTCTTTCACAATTTCTTTTTATGCGTCTCGTATTTAACCAGAAGCACTAATGTTAGACACATTACAGGTCCGAGGCTAATTATTCCACGTCCGAGGTAAACACGACCAATGCTGAAAATAAGTGGTATGAACTATATCACAATACAATCTTAGAAACTGATGAAGAACAATTAAACTTGCTTCCTGTCTCAAAGTGAACTACATTTTAACTGAGTATCTATTCTTCAGTTTGGACGAAGACATTTCTTAATATTTTGATTACATAAATTTTTAACTTGCTTAAACTCGTGTTGATTCTGGAGAAAAGTTCACGTTTTTTTTCTCATTTTTTAGTTCGCCTATTCTCACACAAACTTAGAAATGGCAATTGGTATTCTATACGTCCAAAACGTTCATACCATGATACATTAGTTTTAAAAAAGTTGACAAACCTGTTGGTATAACTTCAATAATTGGGCCACGGTGAAGGTATCACTCTGAGGTACCTCAATAGGGCTCGGAGGAGGGGGCGGTGTGGGTGTCTTGAAAGTCTTTGTGTCCTAAGGAGGGACCAACAAGAAAGTGTTATAAAGCAAAATAAAAAATGCACCAGGGACCGCCCTCCAAGAGAGCGAAGAATGACATTGTCGCTGAGGTCGAGGGAAAAATGATATTCCGGATAGTATAAACTGCGTGTTGCAAAACGAGGACTGCATCCTGCAGTGGATGCACAATGCACTCTAAGCACCGCATTTTGCTGTTTAAAAAGAATGTCTTCGTTTATTTCTAGGAAGTTTAAAAGTATACGTGGACCATAAAACCCAACAAGCTAGAGCTGTAGAACAGCATAAATGACAAAAACAGATCAACAAATGTCTGTCATGTTCATTTTCGGTTAGAATGAGTATTTACAAGATTCAAATACTTGAAGGGAGTGTTTCGATTTTGTGTTACCAAAAGGAAGTATTTTAAGTGACGAAATAAGAATGGAAGTTACCAAATACAGTCTGGACAAACTTGAAAATCCGAAGCACTGAGATCTTTTGAAATTTGCAACATGTAAAAAAAAAAATGCTATTGCAACACGGAATTTTTTAACTGTTTTCTACATTAATTATTCTTACCAGATCAACAACGAAGTCTTTGTCCTTGAGGAGACTTTCTTCTTGTACCTTTTCTTCTCTCTCGACAGCAAAACGTATCGCCTCAGCCATTTCCTTAATGCTAAAGACAAAGCAGCACAAAGTTGTCAATTAAAAACACATTTTAGGTATTCACTTAATTTCTTGGTTACCCTTCATAAAATATCAAAAAACAACGACAGCTAGACGATAGAAAGGCTTCAAGAAAACACTTAAATCATAATTTACGAGGTTTATTTCCAAATCTAATGAAAACGAAATAAAAGTTGGCATTTTGTAGTCACCTTTCGACTTCCTGTAGGAACCTTTCTCCCAACCAGTCATCCATGTCTTTGTAAGTTGAGTCGGCCTTGCCCTTCAAATGAATCAAAAATAAAAGTTAACTAACGTTTTAAATCTGAAAAAGCTCTCTGCCTCATAAGGGTAGAAGAAAAACTGTCCAGTCCCTATCGTGCAAGACAGTCTCATCTTGCCAGCTTGGGTAGGTAAATACTGCACAGGACCTTGGCTGATCTTGCTCTTCGAAGAGTTACCTTAAGTTCTTGAAGCACTGCAATAGCGTGGTTCTTGATCATTTCCAATCGGGTTTTCAATCCGGTATCTGCGAAGTGGGAGTAAGAAATCCTTGTTAATAACTAAAGCCCTCTGGAAGGGCGACCAGTCTGGCGATTAGATATGGAAAACAAACGTAACAAAAACCAAACAAACAAATACGATGACAAAAAGTTAAAAGCAATATAAAGGGAAGAATTTGGCCAGTTGATATGTAAACGGCATGAACTACATTCCCACCATGAGTGTAAAGCGACATTGCGATTTCACTTCACCTGAGAGTAGCTTTCATTACAGTATCGCTAATAACAAAAAACGATTTTTCACTGGGTTCCTAATTTGAAAACGTCTATTGCTGTCCCGTATTTTCTCGTTCTTTCACAAGCTCAACACAAAGCAACAATTAGTGAGGATGACCTCAAACTCTGCTTTAAAATAAACTTCAGCCATGAACCGGAGTTCTACTTTCAGTAATAGGGAATTTTCGCAAACCACGACGACGAAGGCGATACAATCTCCCGAAACAAAAGGTTTGACGAGTAGAGCAATAGCTCCGCACGTGCGCTGTACACCTTATTACATTTCTTAGTCGTGAAGTGAATACACCGAAAGATGCGAAAATTCTTAAGAAAAATATAAATCACAGTTTAAATTGATGTTGTCCTCGGCTTTGCAGTCGTCGTTCAAAAGCCTGCATTTTGCTTTCTTCTTGCGTTGTGCAATTCAAGCTTTGCGCTTTTCTTGGATAGACAAGACACATACAGATGGACGTCACAATGGGGTTTCCTTAGCACGTGGCTTTGTTAAATAATTTCAACCCATGATGCTTACAAAGATTCTTCCTCAGCCAATCAAAACACAAGCTATATCGCAGTTGTTTTGCTCACCTTCTGAGGCTACAGCTCCAAGGAATTCTTTCCTTGCTCTCTCCTTTGTCTTCTGTTTGAGTATTTCCTCCTCTGATTGTCCCTCCTGGTCTTCTGGTGGAGCTGCAAACCAACACGCAAACAAAGAAACTTCAAAGACTTTTCTACTTTACAAAAGTATGCTCCTATACTAAAATCATGGCATGTTGATATTGAATTGAGGGATTAGAGCGGTTTTCAACTGAGTGGCTTTAAACCAAACCAAACCAGTTACTTACCGATCAGACTACTCAGTCAATCTCAAACCGCAGTAAAACCAAAACCAAAACCAAAGTAATTGCCTGATTACTTTCGACACTCAGCTGAAAACCGCTCTATCTAGTATTGGGAGAAACCGGCAACACTATCTTGACACACAACTTGATGCACCTGATCATCTCAACTGAGAGCGCACCTTAGAGATTTAAACAGTGTAGACTTCCTTAACTACTTTACTTCAAAAAGAATTCAAATTCAAACTTGCAAAAAGAAATATTAAACTTCATATTGCAAGATTTTAAACAGGGCAAACAGCACACATGCAAGAACAAGATATGTAAGCAAAAAGAAGTGGATAGTTGTTTATAACATCTTTAATAACGTGCCTTCAAATGATGTTGACAGACTGAAAAGTACTTACGAGGTGGAGGAGTCTCAGTCTTAGATGGTGATCCCTTTCCTGGACTCTTTCTTCCTTTCTTGTCTTTTTTGTCTTTTGCTTTCTTTTGTAGCGCCTCTCGTTCTTTCTCTTTTTCAAGCTCTGCCTGTCTGAGGGCTTCTGCTTCTTGCTCTGTCTGATCTATCAAGGCCTGGTTGAGACACCAATCAGAGATGAGTCAGTGGGAGTGGATGAGTTACGGACGTTATACTGGGGTCAGATAATGAGTTACTTGTGTCAGGTATGCAAGAAAAAGGGAGGGTCACCGACTTCGTTTCACAGATAAAGCCCGTGGAAAACTACCCTGACTTTGAGAAACTGGCACAAGAAACTTAACATGGTCTCTGAGGTTTTTGCAAAAAATACTGAGGAAGTGTCAACGGAGCCAACCAATCTTATCACATTTTGTATAAGTGGGACTGTTGCTATTCTTTCCACAAAACTTAACCAAAATAGAGGCATTTGAAGCCGTTGTACAGCTAAACAAAGAGCTCAAAAAACGCAAAATCAGCTGGTACGTCAAACCTCTAACATGTAGACACCGAAATTTTAAGAAATATTTTTTCGTAAAGTGTAGGAGAACGGTAGAGAAAGTGGTCTATCGAAAGAAAAACAAGGGAAATCGAGGATCGCTAAATCTCAAGGCTGTAGCGGTAGCCACTAGCACTATTGCTGCTCATTCTGTTAATTAGCGCGCGCGCTTGGTCCATGACGCGTTCAAGATTGCTAAATCTAAAGCCCTGTCCAGAGGGGAAATGTCTGGTGACCAAACACGATCAAACATTGTTTGGTGACCAAACATTTTCCAGTTTGGACACCATGTTTGATCGTGTTGGATCGTGTTAGATAAAATTTGAAGGACATCAAACATTTGATCAAACATTGTAAAACATTTTGTTCATTCAAACATGTTTGATACCGTTTGGCCACTCAATACAACATGAACATGTTTGGTCGGAAAACAATGTTTCACGATGTTTGGTCGCCAAACATTTCCCGTTTGGACAGGGCTTAAAGGCTGTAGCAGAGCCCACTAGCACTATTACTGATTATTTTATTAATTAGCGCACGCGCTCCATCTATGACGCGTACCGTGAATTGCATGCGCAATAAGGATGCGCAAAAACGATTAACGTAAACGTCCTTTAAAGGAAATTGGTACTGAATTGGTGAGTTCAACTTTCACTTACCAATGTCTCAATGACCGTCAGGGCCATGATATATGCATCAAAGACAAGCTGAAGGGTTAAGAAAAATATATATTCAAAACATTCAAACTGCCACTTCCTGTCACCAAAACGTAGCCAAGTACATGTCATTGTTCTTAAATGTTTCAGGCTAACTGCAAGGAAGCTATCCCAAAATTCCATTATTGGCCCTCGGGGCTTGTATTTATTTTATTTATATTACCCGCCCAAAATCCCATACCAGGGAATTTGGACAGTTCCCCGAGCAACATAACCAAAATGTAATACGCCTACATCCTAGTCCAATTTGGACCTTTGACTCGTCCAGTTTGAGGTGTCCTCGGAATTTTTTTTTCATCCCATTATTTCCAAATTGGACAGGATGTAGTCCTATTACATAATCAAATCAGTGATACTTGTGCGATGGACTAATTTTGGGGTAGGCTTATTTTCGAGTTGGGCTGTTTTCGACCAGAGGGAGGTTATGATGGAAATATATTTTATATTTTGTAAGACCTTCTGTCAGAAAAATCTATGCGTTTTCGAAATCCGCATATGCAAACCCTTTTAAATATAACTACATATCCCAGAAAAAAAGGGAAAAGCTTCCACAGTCAAGAAATGAACATTACAAGTTTCTTCGCATACTGAACTGACAAAACAGAAAGCAGCAGCTACAGTAAACAACTTTTATAAGGAAGGAGTTGTAGCTTTCTTTAGCAGCTAAGTCCGTGAATCCAAAGGGGCTTATTGTCAGAACGACCTTTGCGTGTAAAATTTTTAAGAGGGAGGGGGGTTATTTATCGAGGACCTAAATTTTAAAGGATATTGCGACATACTAAGCCTTAAATGATACAGTTTCAGACTCAAATGCTACTCTAATGATGCAGAAATAAATGGAATCCTTAAACCAAGAAAAAAAAGCACACCTTAGGAATACCAATAAACCAAAACTGGAAGTAGAATAGTTAATATTGTCGAAGGCCGCATGAAATAACAAAGGCAACAAAGACTGAGACATGAACGACGAATGAAAANGAGTTGGGCTGTTTTCGACCAGAGGGAGGTTATGATGGAAATATATTTTATATTTTGTAAGACCTACTGTCAGAAAAATCTATGTGTTTTCGAAATCCGCATATGCGAACCTTTTTAAATATAACTACATAGCCCAGAAAAAAAGGGAAAGGCTTCCACAGACAAGAAATTAACATTACAAGTTTCTTCGCATACTGAACTGACAATACAGAAAGCAGCAGCTACAGTAAACAACTTTTATAATGAAGGAGTTATAGCTTTCTTTAGCAGCTAAGTCCGTGAACTTGTATCCAAAGGGGATTATTGTGAGAACGACCTTTGCGTGTAAAATTTTTAAGAGGGAGGGGGGTTATTTATCGAGGGAACTTATCTAAATTTTAAAGGATATTGCGACATACTAAGCCTTAAATGATGCAGTTTCAGACTCAAATGCTACTCTAATGATGCAGAAATAAATGGAATCCTCAAACTAAGGAAAAAAGCACACCTTAGGAATACCAATAAACCAAAACTGGAAGTAGAATAGTTAATATTGTGGAAGGCCGCATGAAATAACAAAGGCAACAAAGACTGAGACATGAACGACGAATGAAAAAAGTAGAAAATGCAGACCTAAGGCTTGTTTTTTTTACTTAATGGGGCTTCATTAACTATTTTTGAGCCCCGTTGTTTTTTCACGTTCTACAGTGCAGTGCTTACCTTCTCATCCGGGTCTGAAGGCGGCACTGGTGTGTCAGGTTTATCGGGGTCAGCGGATTTATCTTTTTTCTTGTCACCTTTCTTGTCCTTTCCTTTTCCGGTGCCTGGTTCACCAGACTTTGGACGGCGGGGAACTAACGGAATGCTGGAAAACAAGGAATTATATAAAATTGGCAAACGATCCACACCGACACAATTCAACAGACGATTAAAAATCGATAAAGAGAAATTTATTCCTTTAAAGGAACCACCTAGTTCCTTTATGGCTTGGTGTTTTTCTATCTTAGTAAACTACTATTTTCAGGTTTCCTTCGATTCATAAGAGCTCCTTTTACAATTCCAAATTAAAGACATTAAGGTGATGTTACAAGGTTTACTAGCTAGTTTGACTTTGCTGTTTGGGGGCGCCCTGCATACAGGGACCTTAATTACTATACTTGCTGATAATCTCTCGCTTGAAAAACAGCACTAGTATGAAAACTTTCTTTCTTTTGTATAAATCAAGTCTGTATACCAAGAAAATACAAGTGAGAAGCGGGATTTCCATGGTATATCACGAGAGAACTTTGCAAAACTCTTTTATACCACGTCATAGAAAATACAGTGGCCAATTCAAATCAATGGCTCATAACTTAAGGAAATATAAAGCCTACCGAGGTTTCTGTTCTTCATCTAGTGTTTCTGTAGGTTCAGGCGTCTTTGAAGCACCTTTATCCTTATCTTTCCTCCCCGACGGACTCTTCACCTCAGTTTTTTCAGCAGCTGCTAAGTTTGTGGCACTTTCGCTACCTCCTGACTTGGACGAAGCTGACTGCGGTCTTACAGTCAGCGGAAGTTCCACAAGAGGTAAGCGCGCGTGGTCACTGACTGCTTCACACGGTATTTTGCCTGAAAATACAACACGATGAGTACGACCATTTAATAAAACTTCTGTTATTACATGTAAATGCAACTAGTAAACTAACGAGTTGACATTACAGATGTTTTGTTTTTTGTTTCAAAAGAAAAAAAGCGGGCGTCCAGCTGAAAAACGTTCCTTTGAAATGATCTGAAAAAGGATTTATGATTCTAAAAAAAAAAAGCCTGAGTTCAGTAAGAAGATAAAGCAACCTTAACTTCTACAACAGCTCACCTTCCATGCCCACATAGTAATCTCTCAACAAGCACACGGTATCTTGATATCTGTCCACCTCTGCCTGCATGAGTGTGATGTAGAAGTTTGTCAGTAGACCCAGCCGATCCTCCAGCCATCCTTCACTTATCACTGACTGCCGCTCCTTCTCTGCCAGCTCTTTGCGGTTATCACAGATATCGAACAGACGGTCACAAAGATCCTAAAAAACAAAACCAAGCAGACGTTTAAAGCCAATTAACAACGGTAACGTAAATGTGCTTTTTACAGTGGAATAACGCTTGCCTACTTCGCAAGATGTTCCGAGACGTTCGGAAAATGTTTGCTGATCCTGTTGACAAATCTTCGTTGGAAAAAATTCCTTGAAGAATCTAACAACTTTTTTTAAGTATGGAGGGAGCTAAAACGTTCAGACTGATTTTATAGATATGCATTAAGTTAATGACCACAATACACAAAAATTAATAAATCAACTAAGAAAACCTCAATAAGCATCAGTTTCGATGTTATCCAAAATAATCTGAGCGAATTCAGAGGAATACCTAACTTTGCAGTTTGAGTGAGAATCCAAGGGAAGAAGTATAACGCATCCGGTCAATTACACGACAAGCTCACGAGAGAACATGCACGAGTACTAGTGCTGTTTTTTTGGTTGAATAATGACAAAGACTTTAACATCCTTCAATTACAGTGGAAACCCGCCTTACGATCACCCGTTTATACGGCCACCTCGTTATTACGGCCACTTTATTCTAGCCCGAACAAAAGCTCAGTCAGCCATTTTTTTTAACATTATTTAAAGGACCCCACCACGTAAATAAGGCCAGATTTTTGCGGCCCGTCGGTGAAAGGATGAACGGGGTTCGACTACACTTCTACAAACATTTGCCAAAAACGCAGTGTCAAATCAATAGGACAGCTTAACGTTCGTCATCTGAACAATGTAGGAACTGATCAAACCTGTTAAATCACAAAAATACGCTTATAGGAGTATTTTCCTGAACGATGTTCATTATAGTGGTTGCTGTGGAGTTGTCAGTGACGAATAGAAAGTTTATATTTGTGTTACGTACATCAAGTTGTTGATGAAGTTCAGCCTTGGTATCATCGTCTCCCCTCATGTCTTCAGCCACGTCGTTATATGACTGCAATATAAACACACAGGCAATCTGGTTTACAAATTCAATTCATGATGCTGACAACAAGCTGACATTAAACATGCACGCGGCAATNGGTATCATCGTCTCCCCTCATGTCTTCAGCCACGTCGTTATATGACTGCAATATAAACACACAGGTAATCTGGTTTACAAATTCAATTCATGATGCTGACAACAAGCTGGCATTAAACATGCACGCGGCAATCTTTTTACCGTACCTTCTGCCATTGCAGAACATACTCTTGCTTCTCATCTGGTCTCTTCAAAAACTCGACAAAGTCTTTTCTAGTAAAGCAAAAGTATAAAGAATCAATCACTGAATCAATTTAAGGTGAGACAATGGTTAACCAAAACACAGTGCTTCAGTACTTTTCAGTTAAAATTATTGGCTACTTGTATGTTTTCAGTTACGTTATAGCTGTTTGTCAGTTGTTAGTAATGATTTTGAATTTTTGATACACCCTTTACCTTTTTGAGCAGTCTGTTTACAGATTTCGGTTCAGTGTTTGCCTCCTTCCCACATGTCAGTAAGGAGGTTAATATCCCTTTTTGCACTAATTTTGTGGTGGCTATTTATTATTTGAAGACCCTGGGAGAACAACCCATGTAAAACGTATGTCACAATAAAGCAATCAGCAAAAATGGTGCCATCAAAAGGAGCAGAAGTGTTGCATTATTTGCTGCTGCTCCTAACCTTGTTCCGTAGAAATATCTGTGAATAAGTTCCCTCTCGTTTCTGATCATTCCAAAAACCTTTTTACATGATCCCACGTAGACTTCTTCGATATTCTCCCATTGCGAGGTAAGAACTCCAGCAAAATTCTACAAGACCACAAAGATGACACATGATTAAAACAGCAGGGTCAACAGAAAAGTGCAAGAAATACTTCAATCACGGAATGAAAGCTTTAGCAAATCTAAGCAAAATTTCGAGGAAATCTGNTGGGAGGGGTGGGGCTGCGGCTTTTAGTTCCCTTCTTAGAGGCGGTCGGGGAGGGCGAACGGTCCTTTTTGCTCTTTCTGGACTTTGGCGAACCTTGTAATAAGAAGGATGGAAACATTGGTTAAAAAACCTTGTTAAATATTGTCGACCGACTCTCCACGACTGTCAAAACTCTAAACCAAAGAAATAACAGCGCCATTGCTGACTATAATTATACTGGGCAGTGTAAACCACCATGGTAAACCGATCAACATTCACAAGAGCGGGAGGTCAGGAGAAGTGAAAGTCATCGCCTGTACATGGTTGGTCGAACAAACAACGTCTGCATTCCGATTGGTTAGTTATATATAGCACTTTAAACAAGTTTTACCAACCAATGATGCCATTCTGAGCAAACAACGCGATCAAAGTGAATAAATGCTACATTTAAAAATCTTCGTGGTCGCGTTACACCGCTGCAAAGCACTGGAACTCACTTATGATATTCGTGCTTTTGCTGGCTCAAAAGAGTTTTTGAGGCAAATTCGGATGGTAAATTTTAAGAGTTTGTATATTGGTTTATAGTTTACTACAGTGTAGATGCTCTTATTGATCATAATGCTCATTGCTTGCATTTTAAGCATCCTACATTGTAGGAATTTAAAGCTGTATTTTTAACACTTTTGTTGTATTAGTTACTTTGGTTAACATACATTAATTACATTTTTGTTGCGGACCACCTGTGAACTAGCGAAAGCTAAACGTGCTTTCACGTTAAATAAAGTATGTATGTCTGTCTGTCTGTCAATCACTCTGTAACACACCTGGTTTAGAGTCTCCCTTACTCTTTGTGGTACCCTTCTCCGATTTGACTTCGGATTTGGCTCCTGCCTCAGACGGGGCATCGGACGTTAGAGGTACACTATCAGGAGGAACTGTAGCACCTTCACTTCCCGGGCCCTCGCTTGGGGGCCCGTCACCTTGCATGGGTTGAGCTCCAGTTTGTGCTTCACCTTAAGAGACATAACACACACAAATAACAAGCGTTAAGAGGAAGTAAACGACCGCGTCAACGTATCCTTTTAAGGTTCTAGTCTCAAACTCGGAATATTAATTCTCCATTGATAATGATCTTCATGATTTCTTTTGAAATGCAAGCTCTGAGAATACGGAAGAACATCAAGACAGTATTCTCTAGATCATGATTAAGGCTAGATGTAAAACCTAAATCCTAAATTGTTAATTGGATCGTAAATTGTTCCCGAGAAAAACAAGAAAGATGAATATCACCTTCAGCTGCTTGTCCTGGCTGTACGGAAGGTTCCTGTTTAAAGTAAAATCCTGTATTAATTATCACAGCTATAACTTCCATTAAAGAGCTTAATCACTTATACATGTATTAAAGGGGTATTGTTTTCTCAGATGTACTCTTATTTTAAGATTAATGTGATTGATTGACTTGTTATACGAGGGTTTTTCCTAAATTTCGGGTATAAAGGAATTAATTTCAAGTTGAAAAGGAGCTCAGGCTTCTCAAAATAATGACGTAGAAAAATTGTATGAAAAATCAGAGCCCTCTAGAAAGACATGGAGACGTTCCGGTTCATGTTTACGGCCGGGATGGGGGAAAAGAAATGACAAATACAAAGCCATACAATCCACAGCAGATTTCCTGACAGTCCCATATTAGACAAATGGCGACTCTAACAACGTCTTGTAAACTTACAGAGGGAGTTTCCTCGGGTGGTGCAATTAACTTCTGGTAAGTTTCATTCAGTAAGGCGGACACTTCGTCGTACAGTTCCTCTAAAAACGAAACAAAAAAAATGTATGTAAACAGATAGTAATCCCTTGATCATTAGAGAAAAGCAGTTTCATTTACGTGGAGTTGAGATAGAGGGAGAACAGACAGACAGACAATAGATTTCAACGTCTAAGTAGTGACAGCTCCGTCTGTTGGTAATAATAACAGGACCTTTTCAACTCACGGAGAAATAATGAAATCCTAAACTCAGTACAAATGACAGACAGAGAAAGCAAGATGCAGGATAAATGTCATATTAATTAACAAAATTTGAGAATAAACCTTTCGTTCCTTCAAAAGTCAGTTAACCAACCAGTTTTAACAAACCACAACTATTTACAATATGAGAGTTTGTTATTGATATGATTTTTCACTCGCAAAATCAGTTTATGTATATGAAAATGAAACAGAGTATGTCTGTACGTTTTACCTTGACCAGTATTTGCGTCAACCCGCTGAAGAATCCCGAACTTGGTGAACCATTTTTCCAGCTTCGGCCAGGCGTCAACAAAACCTACGATCCTGCAACAAACAAACAACGTCAACACTGTTTAGGAGTTTCTTTTGCATACCGGGGGATGCTGCAGTCTGTAACACTGAAAAATGACTTGAGCCAGTAGAAAAACAAACCCTAGCCTGCGAATGCAGACGTATTTCCGACTGTCGCTTGTCTCCGCCGAAAATAACGTCTGCGAACCCGAGCCTGGAAACGATTTCTGTGACGTAACGACTTTTGTTTCCCCTTGGCC